TTTATTCATTGATTCATTCAGAAATACCCTGCTTTGCCCAAAAGCGGGTAAGCGGGGGTGTTACAGGTTTGGAAAAAACAAGTCTTCGTTGTGACAGCACACTTGGTCACAAGACAATTGATTCCACTCGTGCATAGTATGAACAAAAATAATTAGCATAAAGTTTCGTTCCAGTGCGGTATTCTTGAATCTTAAAGTCATGATCAGACCTTCTAGACAGATAATGCGGTGGTTTAAGGTAAGTGTCTTTATTGAGGCCAGTCTTCATATGATATATCTGAAATAACAATTTCAAGCCCAATTTTTTTCTGCGAGAGGAGAGCGCTTCCCATCCCAGCTCGTTTTTCATTTCAGTACAACTGTCACCTCGCTTATACCGACTGAGAACGAACCTTGCCGCTCTGTTCTGTATTTTCTCAATCAGATCAATCAAGGACGTTTGGCGCGGATCCCACACACAACATGCATATTCCAAAATCGGGCGGATGAATGAATTATACGCAGTACTTTTTAGGACAGCAGGAGAGGGTCTCAGATTTCGTTGAATAAAATTTAGGGCTCTGGCAGCTTTTGCAACTACAGCGTGCACATGCACATTCCATAAACAGTCGCTCGTAAGTGTTACACCCATGTATTTACTCAATTATTGAAGATCAATGACGTCACCATCCAAAAAGTAACGCGCTTCATCCTTTTTCTTTTTTAGTAAAAGACACGTGCACACATTTTATCACATTAAGTTGCATTTTCCACTTATCATACCATTTCACGATTCGGGTAAGGTCAGCCTGCAATTCAATGCGATCCTGTTCATTTTTTTTCTGTACACAACTGAGTCGTCAGCAAATAAACGTGTTCGAGAAGTAATGCCATCAGAAATATCATTAATGTAAACTAAAAACAGTAGCGGCCCTAAAACAGACCCTTGAGGGACACCCGATGTTACTTCCACGTAGAAGAAGTAGTACCATTGAGAATGACACATTGTCGACGCTGTGATAGATAACCGGCTGTCCAATACAGTACTCTGTTATCAATATTTGCCCTTTCGTGTTTGCGAAGAAGCAAGGGAAGGCACACGGTGTCAAACGCCTTTCTGAATTCTAAAAAAAAACACAGTCTGTTTGACCGTTGTCATCAACCTCGGACACTAAATCATGGTAGAACTCAATCAGCTGTGTTGTGCAAGACAGGCCCCTGCGGAAACCATGTTGATCATCAACTAGTAATTTATTTTGAACTAAGTGTTTCATTATGTCTTTATAGAAAATGTGTTCTAGTATTTTGCAGGGAATAGATGTTAATGAAATAGGTCTACAATTGTTGGCCTCTTCTTTGGAACCACCCTTGTGAATGGGAACCACTGAAGCCATTTTCCAGTCCTCAGGCAGAATTCCAGTAGCGGGAAATTTTTTTGTATATTAGGTAAAGATAAGACACTCTTGGCCAGGCACAGCGCTTCAACACGCGTGGGGAAATACAATATCGACCAGGGGCCTTGGTTTCGTCTATATTTTTTAAAAGGGATTCGATACCACACACACAGAGTTCAACCGGTGGCATTATGGCTGAGTTCCAAGAGGTGGCTCTGCCAGCGTAGATAACTTCTCAAAATCCATTTGAGGTAAAAATACGGAGTCAAAGAAACCATTAAGAGACGACGCTCTATCAATATCGCTGGACAAGATCTCATCATCATAAAAACCTTCGTTTATTCCAGTTGAATCAGCTCCACAGTTTCTTACGTATCTCCAAAAAAAGCTTTGGGTTCGTTTTTATACATTCGTTTAGTCGATTGAAGTATTGATCCTTTGCGCTACGAACTTTAGATTTATATTCATTAGTTATCTCGACAAATTTGGTGTACTGATAACTACTATGGGTTCTATTTATTGCCTTGTATACCCATCGTCTTTTTCTTATTAATCTAAAAATCGCTGGTGTCACCCATGGCTTCTTGCACTTTTTGAGTTTAACCGCATTTGTACTTGGCACATATTTTTCCGTTAGTTTTATGACTTTCGCTTTAAATAGATACCACAGTTGTAAAACATCGACGCTCTCGCAATGACAATCGAAAACAGGCAAATGAGCAAATAAATTCTGAGAAATAACAGAGTAATCGCACTTATCATAAAAATATACCTCCCTCAATTGGCAGCGCTTGGGTCTCTTGATCTCATGTTTAATAGTTGCTACAACAGCGAGATGGTCATTGATACCGGGTGTACACGTGACAGAGTATACAATATTTGGCGAATTACAAAAAAGCAAATCTAAAATGTTATTATTCCTTGTGGCCACAGTAACGTATTGAGTAAGACCGAACGTATCCACGATGTTTTTCATGCTGATGTTTTCGCGACAACCACTCAAGGCGATTCATGTTCCATTATACCACATCAAATACGGTAGATTGAAATCACCGGCAAGTATAAACTTATCTGATGTTCTGTAAATTATGTCGTGCAGTTCGACCCAGGAACATGGTCGACGTGTAGTTCTAACAGGCTGTGGTGCGTGGGAAGCTTCAGTAGAGGATTTTCGGCCATCATTTGGTATTGCAGCTTCACCTCCATAAGCTTCAATATCTAGCTTTCCTGCTGCGATCGCCCAGAGAAGCTCGGCGAGGAAAGGCGCCGAGGGGGGGGGGGGGAGGGGGGAGGGTGGCATTGGCGGCGTAGCGGCGATGGGGATCGGGCCTAGCGGCGACCGGGCGAAGGGGCTTCAGTGTAGCCGCGACCGGTCAAGTGGACGTCAGTTGGGGTCTCCTAAGATGACGACGAATGGAAATTGGTGGGTGCGGAGGCTTAAAGTCGAAGGGTCGTAGGGTACATGTGCACAGGGGTAGAGAAGTTCCGACGTCGTTGGTTTGAACGGGGGCGGTAATAGCGAGAAACGTTCTCAGGGTGGTGGCAGAAAAAACCAATAGGCCGGTCGTAGGGTGTTCGACATTTCGAAGGGTTGCGGAAGGCATTGAAAGAGGTAAATGAAGAGCGTGTCCTGAAGTGGTACTTCAGGGCGAGTTAAGGGAGGCATTGTAAGAGGTAAATGAAGAGCGTGTCCTGAGGTGGTACTTCAGAGCGAGTTAAGGGACACGCTCATGGAAGGTCGAGGTTCGCAAACTCTTGCCTCACCACAGCTTTTAAGAACGCCACTACCGGCTGTTGTTGGTCAGAGGTGAGCGTTAATAAAACGGCTGGCTGAAGAGGAACCGGACAGGCGGATTCAATTTCCTTACGAACAACGCGCGTGACGTTGTCATACCAGGGGGATTGGCGGGCAGCTTCGCACTATGAGGTTCCGGTGTGTTGTGCAGCCGGGTGATCGCTGAGTAACAAGGCGGCTCTTGGCTTATTGAAACCGCCGGCACTCTTTAATGATGGCGTCAACGGTGGCAATGTTGTTGTATACTAGAAGAACAAAGGCGTCGTGTGCTCTGCCTTTAAGCACATGGGCCACTTTCACAGACTCACTCATCTGCTCGTCACTCAGGTGGCATTGGGCGACGACGTCATGAATGTATGCGATGTACGACACCGTCGACGCCCGTGCACGAGCCACCAGTTGATTCTGCGCAGTAATCTGCCGTCCAACGATGTGGCCAAATTGGTCGCCGATCTTCTCATTAAAGGAATCCCACCTTGTGATTGCCGCTTCGTGCTTCTCGAACTACACCCGTGGTGGGCCCGAACCACACCCGAGATAGAAAAGCACATTGGCAAGCATGGGAGTAGAGTCCTACCTATAGCTTGCGCTGTCCCGTTCGCAACGGTTGATCCATTTTCCGACGTCAGCGCCATCCTGAGCAGAAAACACACTGGAATCACGAGCAGAAAGTAGAACGACGTACGTAGAATTCGCGGAAGGTGTAGGTGGTGAATACAATGCTTGTTCAACTTGTGACATAGTCGCACCTATGATGAGGCGGCCGTTGCATAGCTTCGTGATGAAAACGGGGAAGTACCCCGCACTTCGACTACAAAGATGTTACGTAAAAGTGGCACGAGGCGTGTATATTTAGAATCTATATCGACACTGAAGCGTATAGCGTCGACCAAGGTGGAGGACAGCACGCACCACATCAGACCACCTCATTTCTTCGTTGTCGTCTTCTGATCCCTGATTCGTCAACTACGTAGCAATATGTAGGAATGGCAGACTGGACTTGTTCGTTTAAAATACTTCGAAGTTTATGGCGCTAATGCGACACGGACAAGGACACAATACACACACACGTAGCGCCTGGTGTGATGTCTATATACGTTTTGAGCACGTGGTGTTTATATAAGTCCTGTGCTCTTTCGAAATAAATGTTTGTTGGAAGGCAATCCATGTGTGTGTATTGTCTCTTCGTCCGTGTCGTATTCGCGCCTTAAACTTCAAGTTCTGCTTAGCTTCCACAGCGTTGCACCTCGTTTGCATTGGAGTATAGTATTTTCACGAGTAATCATTTTCTCCCTTTCGGAACTGTTTTTTTTGTTTTTACATGGCCCCACGTGAGATCAGCTGCCGTTCAGATAAGAAGTGATAAGGGAAGGAGAGATGGTTTATTGTGACGTCTGCTGGGTAGCCACATAGTCAAGCTCAGCGCATTCCACGTCGCCCGACCTTTCCATACATTAAAATAGAACGAATTTCAACGTCGTTCAGCGCTTGTAGGGGGGCGAGTTGGGTCATGCTTAAAACTGAAACTATAGTATGGGCCAAATGACAAGCACGCACACAGTATGAGACAAATACTGGTGAATCCATGTCTGTCTGTGTTCGTGTTAGGCGTTCCTGTATTTTGTTTCGCGCATACTAGCTTTAATTTTAAGTAGCTGAAATTTTCAAAATATTTTTTGTTGCTTGATGTGCTGCTTGAAGAGCTGATTTGTATTTCTCTTCTTTCTTGTTGATTCTACGGCATAAAGTGTGCGCGGTGAGAATAAATCGCTGATGTTTGCCCGTATGTAGACTCAATTTACTCATACTAGGCGTTCTCCTCTTACATGCAGCTTTTTGGTAAAATTGGTTTGGAGAATGAAGATAGCGCCATCGATCGCAACAACAATTTCCAGACATTTCCCCAAGCTGTCCTGGTTCTCTTCAGGTAAGACTAGACTGTGTTTTACACTAAGCAAATCCAAGCTGTCCTGGTTTTCTTCAGGTAAAACTAGACTGTGTTTTATACTAATCAAATCCGTGTTTTTCAGTTTGAGAATGGTTGTCCGTTACGTTGGCTTAGAGAAACTATGAAAGAGGGACAATGCTGAGCTGCGAAAATACCGCATAAGTGATCGATTCACCTTTTAGGGGAACATTGGTACAATACTAAAGAGAGACAGAAAAAGACAAAAAAAAGACAGAGAGTATAAACGCCTCTACATGCGGTATCCGTACTTCCGCATCGCACGTGGCAGTGCATCTGCCTCACGCAAGCGTAAGGCGAAAGAGCAAATCGTTGACGCTTTTTTGTCCTCCGCCTGCAGGTGTCCCGCTACGTGCGGTGCAGCTGTAGGGATAGCGCATTTACACGCCCTAACCAAGAGTCAGGTTAGCTACCCTTTACTTGGAAATTTGAAAGGGGAGGTAAAAGTGCGAAAGAGTAGAGTTTCTGACAGTAGGAAAAAGGTCATGTGACTGGAGAACCGTCTGAGTACTACACAGCAACATTGTTCGCAAACAGTCAGATACTATATCCGGTTGCTTACAGTAACCTCTACAACGCCATCAGAGTGCCAAGTGTTGAACTTAGGGTTAGCCAGGAACCTTGGACTATTAAGGGTGAAACATGTTTGGCTTTTTTTTTTCGATGAGACAAGAATGCTGTAGGCCTGTGTGCTCAAAATCGGGTGAACGTAAAGAACCCCAGGTGGTCAAAACTAACAGAGTGCTCTACTACGGTGTCTCTCATAATCATATTGTGGTTTTGGTATGTTAAACCACATATATCAATCAAATCGTTTGGCTTTTTCGTCCTCGTTCATCACGGCAAGATGCGTGCATGTGAGACACAGAACCAGGTTTAGCAATAGACTAATATCTGTCATAATTGTCACGGAAGAATATCAAACTCCTACAAGCACGAAACCTTCATACTACTCCGCGACTTCAATGTAAAACCTAGCCTCCCCCACTCGTCTCTTCAGAGAGATTTTGTTCTCTTTGGGGTTCTGCAGCTACGAGGGTTGTTGTTTCGGAGTTGAAGCGGATGCATTCGCAGAGAAAGTGTGCAAGTGTTTTGCTGTACCCGTGTAATCCACATGGCAGGCGGGGGTCAAATAATTGCTACAGAAAGGGCCAAACGGCCGTCTCAGCTTGAATTCTTGCACATATTGGTGTGCATGCTTACCGTAAAAATTATATGAAGTTTTTTATTAAACTAATTTAAGTAGAGCGGTCAACGCTTTGTATTATTTTCCTTCAGTGGTGAGGCGTCATCTCGAGACTAGATTTTATTTACTTATGCGTGGCGGCTACGCGTAATGTTTATTCTGCCTTGGCTGTGCTGAAGTGAAGTATGACTTCGCCGCAGCTTTTCAATGCTCCATGTTAGCGGTTTCCTATGGCATACAAATACAGTGATCGAAGCCAGTATGCGGGCAATTCTTGGCCTCCATTGGCCACGCGTGGCGTTTGATAGCACTGTTACTTGTCAAACGCACAGAAGTGCCCACATAAAACAGTACCCCACCCCCCCCATTCTAGCTCAGTGGGTATAGTGTCGACAAGTACTGCAGTTTGGACGAGTTGGTGCGTATTAAAATCGTAAGGTTAAAACGCAGTTCTATTTGACCGTGAAGAAAAAGAAAAGAGTGAGAAATGAAAATGCAGACGACAGGTGGAGTGCTAAACATACATATTTTATATATTGCATGACACTACGGCACATCACAAGCTCACCTGGTTGGACAGGTTTACCGCGCACAGAACGACAAACCTTAAGCGTGCGGCGCAACACATGAAACAGTAAAGGTAGCTTTAAGCAGACTGTTAAAATAGGATTTTTATATCAGTTGGTCACTGCCCACGCGCAGAAAAATTCAGCTCCTTTTTAGATAAGGCTATGGAAGGCGTACTCACACACAACTTCGCACACTTCGCCATAGAGGTCGCCTCAATAACTTCTAGTTTCAACAGGTTATGACTGTGGCTCAAAGTAATCCAATGTGCCCCACCGCGGTGGTCTAGCGGCTAAGGTACTCGGCTGCTGACCCGCAGGTCGCGGGTTCGAATCCCGGCTGCGGCTGCTGCATTTCCGATGGAGGCAGAAATGTTGTAGGCCCGTGTGCTCAGATTTGGGTGCACGTTAAAGAACCCCAGGTGGTCGAAATTTCCGGAGCCCTCCACTACGGCGTCTCTCATAATCAAATGTTGGTTTTGGGACGTTAAACCCCACATATCAATCAAAGTAATTCATTGTTCCAACAATGCAGGCCATGCACATGTCTTACAATGCATAACCAAACAACTACCAGAAGAAACCCTGTTTTTTACATTGTTACAGGGCTCGCGCAGAAAATCTTTGTCATACCTGCCAGTGAGTTCTACGGAAACAGCGTCGCGCAACAGAGGAAACATGTACACAACAGCTAGAGAACACTTAAGAAACCAAATCACATGCTTCTTTCCAAAAGTGGGTTGTGACTCCTTCTTAGGGTTCGTAGACTTGCATAATGAACTTAGTTTTACTTGAGCCAAGAACACTGCGCGAATGTTTTCTCTCACGGCTGTTTTTTTTAAATGGTGTGAAAACTTGTGCGCTTACGGTATGCCACTGGTTTTTCCAGCATCGGGATCATCACTGTCCCGTGGCCCTACCTACCTACTCGAACCTTGCATCAAGCACTCAGCCATTCGAAGCTAATTAAAAGTGGGAATAGCAGGTCGTCCTTTAAGAATGCTCTGATAAAGTCATGACGTCACGCTATGGCTGCTAGCTTTATAGGACGAATCGAGCGCTTATACATGGCCGGCTCTGCGGGGTTAGTGCACGTGTTAGTCGCTGAGTGCTTGTTGCATGGTTAACGTAAGCGGGTACTGCGGCAGGACAATGGTGAGCATGATGCTTTAAAAACCAGTGTCATACCGTATGTGCGATAAATTTCACGCTTTTGAAAATGATAGCCTTGAAAAAAAACTTTTGCGCAACGTTCTCGGTTCCAGAAAAATTAAGTCTATTATGTAAACTTACGAATCATATTCAGTAGAGTTGCTTGTTGGGTAAGTTCGTACATACTTATTAAACTAAACAAGCCACAAAACGTTGAAATCAGAAAAATCAGAGCAGTAGAAACAAGGACAGAGAGCATATACAAGGCAAGTGACGTTTATTTCGGAAGAAAACTTCCCTTCCAAGTCCGTACAACGCACGCGCAGATAACAAACCAAAAAACCAAAACCAAAACAAACCAAACATTTTGTTTTTTTGTTTGTTATCTGCGTATGCGCTGTGCGTACTTGGGAGGGAAGTTTTGTTCCAAAGTAAACGTCATTTGCCACGTACCTGTTCTCTGTCTCTGTTTCTATTGGCCCCACCGCGTTGGTCTAGTGGCAAAGGTAATCGCACACTTTGCACACTTTGCTGCAGAACCGCAGGTCGCGTGTTCGTATCTCGGCTGCGGCGGCTGCATTTCCGATGGAATCGGAAATGTTGTAGGCCCGTGTGCTCATATTTGGGTGCACGTTAAAGAACCTCAGGTGGTAAAAATTTCTGGAGCCCTCTACTACTGGCGTCTCTCATAATCATATGGTGGTTTTGGGACGTTAAACGCCACATATCAATCAATCAATTCATCAGTCGGTTTCTATTGCTCTCCTTTTCCGAGCATCCAAGGCTAGATAAGACAGAACTGTTTTTCTTGGTCCGAAACAGCGCCTCGAGAGCTTCGTCGGAGGACTTTACGAGATGTGTCAGCGCCGGTGTGTACGCGCTTCCAAAGGAAATCAACAGCCACATTTCCATTCACTCAGGCAAGATTGCATCGCTTTTACGCGAATCAAGATTAAGGCTGCTAGAGTCAGACAAAGAACACAGAAAAAAATTTGCCGTCGTGCCAGCAGCAGTTTACAGATACAAGGCAAGTGATACGGTCCATGCCAATTTTCGCTTAGTCGAAGACTTTCAGCCAAGTAAGGTCAAGAAGCGGGCAGTGCAATCGTGCAATAATGCGGGACTAGAGAAATTGGCTACATCGATCAAAAATGCTGAGGCTCTGGCTTCGAAGTCTTTCTTCTCTGCAAAGAAGCACAAGGAAGCCTGCCCCTTCAGAGCCATGGGAGCGAAAGGAGCACTTGGCAGCACTCGCTAGGTCTGTACCTTCAGCATTGTCTGTCGGTCTTAACCATAAATGACTCATTTCTTGTTAGAAGACCAAATAAAGTTGACGTATTCTATAGGCAACCTTAGCAATGCATGGGTCAGGGCGTTCTCTGCGGATGTCAAGAATCTATATTACTCCCTGTCTCAGGATCCCCTATTTCAAGCTGTCGGCGAGAGCATCGAAGAACACAGCGCTCTGCGGTTTCGAAATTCATGTGGCACTAACATGTCAGCCTTCATGGAGTTGCTGTGGTTGTACTTCCGTTCTACGCATGTCAATAATGAGGGTCGTCTGTATACCCAGAATGAGAGTGTATGTATAGGCTCTTGTCTTGCACATGTTTGAGCAATTTACTTCTGACTCGCCTCGACAGGCAGCTGCAAGACGCCCTTTCAGGCTATAGTGTACTGAAGGTCATCAGACTCGTAGATGATTTCCTAGCGCTCTTCAGGCTTGACAGTTCAACCGATGAAGAATCACAGCAAATATTTGGCGTGTTCGCGGCTATTCTCAACGCATCCACGTTAACGATGGAACTTCCCACTGGCAGTAGCTTAAGGTTTTTAGACCTGGCGATATATGTTCGTTGACTGCACACCTGCTGGGAGTAGGCGCCGAGGCCACAAAAGGGCATTCTCTTGTTCCATTTGGCGCATACAAAGCTTGTGAAGCGCGGGGTTGCCTTAGGTGTTCTCAGGAGTGCTCTTGAGAGGTCTTGCCCTCACCAAGTGCAAAGAACCTTTGGCGCCCAGGTCGAGTGACTGAAACGTGCCGGCTTACTGACTAA